GGGGGGGTCAACTGGCCAGCCAGCGTTTCTCAGATTGGAGTGAGACGAGGAGAAAATGTGATGTCGTGATCTTCACAATAGAACATCTTTGACGTGTCGAGTCTTGGCCAATCAGCGTTAAGCTGTATACACCGTCTTTCCCTCCGTTAAAGTTTATGTTACGTTATGTTCCGTTACAGTTCAGACTTGCTGGGTTAAGTTAACGTCCACTGCATGCGGAACTTTGTCGACTGCTAACGTTCATCATTATCGCGATTTAGGAGGAAAAAACGTAACGTGATGAAACATGAAGCCCCCCCGTGTTCCGGTTCAGTTCACGCGGTCACTCGTTAACGTTAAACCGGAACACCGGCGCATCTGGTTGCAGGTTGTTTGTTTTAACTCAAAGTAGAATGAGATGATTTCATGGTCAGAATAACTTTCATGACCACGAAACATGAGGCCCAGATACTGATGAGATGATGAGGTCAAAGAGCTTCAGGAAGAGGAGGCTGGTTGTGTAGCGCAGCTTGACGCAGGGCTGAGCTGTGAAGGAGCTGGGCCTGGATAAAGGTGGACCCTGCCTTACATTGATAAGGCAGGGTATGCTGAATGTAGCCTCTGCTCCAAGGAGATGAACTACAGCAACAAGGGCTCACATGCCCTCTCATCACACTGTTCACTGTGATGACCACAGCCAGTGTACTAACAGTCCCAACAGTCCCACATTACTCCCAAGAACCCTGAAGTAATGAGTGTTAAGGTGCCTGTACCTTCATTTCAGCAGGTTGCTAATGCAGAGGTGTGTATAGATCACAGCTATTATTTTACTCTTGATAAACTACCTTAGCCAGAGTAGATTATCATGTTCATTTAAATAATTGAACTGGATTGAATGAATATTAATTGCAAATAGAAGATGGACCACAATTCTACCAGCTGTACAGTAACAGTGGAAGTTAATATGAAGCCGTACAATAACAGGGTTCAATGAAAACTAATCACTTTCTTTGTACAGGCGATGGTTCTCACTACTCTTGCTATCTTTGTTTTTATTTGACCAAAACTTTTGAAAATGAGACCTCGGTCTCAATGGATTTTGTCTAAATAAAGGTTAATAATAATAATAATAGAGCTGAAATAGTGATTAATAACTGAATAATAAATTAGGTTTTTGCTTCAGAGTACACCAGAATGCTACATTTTAAACCTCATATTTAAAATAAAATTCTCGGAGCACCCCCCCCCCCGACAGGGTTTCGGGCTTATCACCCTTTTCACCTCTCATGCTCTCATGAGTTTGCAGGTATGTATACACAGCTGATGTCAGTGGTAGTTATTAATACACATACATGGCAGATGGGTTTTTCCTCATATTAAGAAATCATTGTAATTCTAAAAGATTTGAGGGACACCAAACCAGTGGATTACCCTTTAGGATGTTACACTGCCATCTTGTTTTCTGACATGTTATGATTGAATATGTAAATGAGGCATTATGTAATGCAAACTTTAGGTGAATTTATGTCAAATCTACAGATGCAAAATGTCTATTTTCATGTTTTCTTTCCACTCCACCTGAAAGAAGACATTTTATGAAGCAAAAAGCTTTTGCCAGAATAATCTTTATAATTTACCTGAAATGTTTCTCATCTGTGAAATGTGGATTTATTTTTTTTCCTTTTCTTTTTTGGGGAGAAAGTGATTTTCTTTTCTCAGTGTTTGTTGTAATAATCATTCCCTCATGTTGTAAACGGGACTAAAAGCACTCGTGTTTTCTTACATGTCACTTAGTTTTACTGAAACTTTTTCCAAGCTTTCACAGAAACAACAAAACATAACTTTATTTTCTGCTGTTTGTAGGTCAAACACACGAGAGGAAACTATTTAGATTTGACTTTTTCTGATAATATTACGAAGATTGTGATATCTAAAGTGTGGAATACACCTCTGAAATACCTTGTTTGATGCAGAGTTCATTGACATGGTGAGGTCTAAACCCACTGTTCTCAAAAATCTGTAAGGCTGCACTTCTCCTTGAATTTACTGAAGAAGAGTAGATTGGAAATAAGACATCGCTGTCCTGTGTACGGACATGAGACCTGCTGTCTCATAGTTTCCATTTAGTTGAAGAAAGAAGACAAGCTATCCAAATCATCAGCAGACCCACCTCTACTTTTATCCATCCCACTCCTAGACAAGACTGTTTTCCTCTGTGAATATATATATATGGTTTATATCTTTATACATTTTGATTTAAAATTATCATTCATTTGTAGTTCAGTGATCATGTTCAGCAACATTTTCAACCGACACTCAACCAGCTGCTGGAGTCCGTCTCCGTCCTGATGCGTCCTACAGACCTCACACAACCTCACAGGTGGGTGAAGGGCTGTGGAAATATGAAGTGGTCTGATTGGCTGTCTGCTCATTGTTTGTAATTATGAAATAAAAAGGACATCTTGAAAAAAAATGCGCCAGAAGGAAATAGAAATGCATGGAAGCCCATTTCTGCAGCAAAACAAAAAGAAATGCACCAACACTTTTGGTGCATCCATCTGTAACCATAACACTGACCAGATGTTTCCAGCTGCTATAGAAAGTCGAAATTATGAGATACTTTAACACAACAGTCATAGAAACAGCTCTTTGCCAAGTTACCCTACATTTGACATATAAATGGATTGTGAGTACATTGAAGACTGTGTGGCTTAACAGATGAAATATTTCAATTGCTTGATGTTTCACATGGATTGTATTCAGCAAACGCACCCTTGAATAGAATTTTAAGCAAGAAGTGGCTCTGGAGTATAAAGAATAAAATCGAGGTGGCGACCTTCAATAAACAGCAACTGGAAACATCTGGTCAGTGTTATGGTTACAGATGGATGCACCAAAAGTGTTGGTGCATTTTTTTTTTTTTTGCTGGCTGAAAAAAAGTTAATAAATTAAAAACCGATTCTTTCTTTTTTTTCAGCCAGCAAAAACCAACTTTGAATCCTTGTTTTGTTTTTTCTGCGTAAATAGGCTTCCATATTAATGAGCTAAAATAAAGAAGCATGAATATGATAACGTTTCGTAAAAAACGTATTTGGTTATTTCTTAATGACATGTCATTGTCATTATGTAATGTCTCATTTATATGAACACTGAACACTTTGGGTAACTCGTCCTACTAAACCCTCATCACAGCCTCAAAAACACAGACTCAGCAGAAACATGAAGGAAAGGATTAAGGAGGAGAGGAGGGAGAAATGTTATGCTGCAATAAAACACCAACGAAGAAGGAGAGATACGGACCCGCTCTACTCTGTCTGTGATTGGCTAGTACTCGTTCGCTCTACTCTG